ATCAACTGGAGACTGAGCTACAACATATATTTAGTTACCGTTATGTTTATTGCATTTAAAAAAGAAACAAAAAAATAAAAAAAAAATAAGAAAAGAAAACTCAAAATAAATGGCAATTGGCCAGCATAACAAACACACACACATCTATTATAAAAAAAAATTACATATATATATATTAATGATATATGCATATTCGATATATATATGTATATATGTTCAGAGTTTTTATGAAATGATTCCTGAAACAGAATTTGGTTCGCTCCATTCAATCCTTAAACAATTTTTTGTTAAGTAAATCTATTTTGCTGTGCATCTTTTACCTGGCCTTTTCACGACACCTTTCAACAGTAAATGACAATGAAAGAAGAACCGACTCCAGCGAACGGCTTGCCTGTGTGATAGTAGTTTATAATTAAAGCCGTTCGCTGGAATTGCCAACCATAAATCAAAAGTCCAATCATCTGCCAGAAAACAACATGAAGATCAAGACGAAGAAGATGCATTTAAATGGCGAGCCGAATGAACTATGAACCACAAACACCTATATATATATATATATATATATATAATCGAAAATTAATACATATATATAACACGCGAAAATACACAAAAATATATATATATAAACAAAAAAACAAAGCAAAAAATTTAAACACTTTACAATATTTTTATTTTTACTTTAATTATTTTTAAAGTACATACGTATCTGTAGTTAAACATTTTTTTTTCGTCGTCTACATTTTACTTGTTAAGTTCACTAATTAATCTACATAAATAAAAGATAATCTACGAAGTGTAGGCGACATAATGTATCTACATTGTACATTGTATCTACATTACTGAGCTAAATATCTATAAATATTTTAAATATAACAAAACTACAAAAAAAAAACAGTAAAATATTATTAAAAAAACCAAAAAAAAAAACAAACAAAATTATATCTTTTTATTTCAATTTTTTTTCCACCAAATTGTTTTTATTTTAGATACTGGTTTACCATTATGGGTTGCTTGATTTCAAATTTTATTGAAGCTTTCAAAATTTCGCTCAGATCCAGTAAACAAAAAAATTTATTTTAAATATAACATTTTCATTTTCAATTTTTTTTATTTTTTTCTCTTTCAGTTTTAATTTTTTAGTTGCAATTTTTTAATATTGCTTGAATCCAGTTTAAAAAAAAATAATACAATATATACTTGAAATATTTAAGATTTTCTTTTTAGTTTTAGCTTTTGGGTTTTTTCTTTTTTGATGTATTGTTTTAAAGTTTTGGCCGTTTAGTTGTTGAGCCTTTGGGTCATTTTGGTTTCGGTTTCTTTGGCTTTTCTCAGTTTTGTGACGTTTCCACGCGAATATCGTTTACAGCCAGGGCAAGGCGCACAACCAACCGACCTCGAAATGATGCCAAGAAATGTGTGTTTAGGGCCAAACGCTTTCACTATATGATGGAAATCTATGTATATGTACCCCAGAATCTGTTTGATATAATATATATATGTATGTGACTAACTCATAACTACTAACTACTTACTACTAACGACTAACTACTATATACCACGAGCCCAGAACTCAAAATCCCCTACCTAAAGCGAACTTGTCTAACTTATGAATTTAATACATGTGTAGTATGTATATCTGCAAAAGTAAGGCATAAAAACGTGAAAACTAAAACATAAAAAATTAAAAAGCTGAAAACGAGCAAAACAAACACGAGAATCAAATACAGAGTACACAACAACAACTAAAAAGCATAAACACAAAAAATCCAAAATGCGTATAAATACATTTATATATACATTTATACGATACCCACTATATACTAACTAAAAAAATAAAAGAAAACTATGAAAACTAAACTAATAAATAAATAAATGAATAAACTACCTCAGCTTTGAATATTTCTATAGAAATGTTATTAAATGTATTTGAATGGCGAAAATGAAAAAAGAAAAACAAAAAATAAAAAAAAAATATATAAAGATACCGAAATGGCAAACAAGTTTTAGAGCTGCATTTATATACATACATACATACATACATGCATACATACTAGTAACAATACTATTTATACTAAGTGTACGTACATTTTGCATATTCCTATATAGCTAAATAAACATAAAAGGCAAAATGGGTCACGAAAACAAAAACAAAAAGTAAAATAAAATCCTAAAAGAAATTCATATAGTATATATATTTGTATACATATAAAAAAAAAAACAAATAACAATAATTTTGCGTCCATTTTTGTTGATTCCTATACAATGGTAAATTCTATAAAAAAAAACTTAAAGAAAAAAATACAAAAACATATTTAATTACATATATAATTGTTTTAAAGTGTGAACGTAACCAATCAGCAAAGGTAATCAAGCAGTAGCCAGATTTCTAATGTTTTATGGATATGTCTATACTACTTACATATATCAACTCAGTGTATGTTTGTCTCTGCCACTAAAACCAAAAAACCAAAAAAAAAAAGCAATGCGAAATAACCAGATTCACGCAAGAAATAAATAAAGAAAGAAGGAAAAAAAATTAAAAGATATAATAAAAAAAAAAACGTTATCCATAAGAAAGCTTTCTCGGTGTCAGTTGTGTCATAGTTTAGATTCAAAGCAAACTAAAAATTAAAAACAAAAAGAAACTTTATAAACTAACCATTTATTTGCAAGACCTGCACTTACACATATATACACTACTAAAAACTGAAGATGGTGTCCAAGAAACATTATTTGAACAGTCCCCGGGGTCTGCTTATTATATGTATGCAAAATAACACATGAAAGCAAAATACATTTGCGTACTTTACTTTTTCTTTTCGGTGTAATTGATTGTTAAAGACACTAAGGCGTAATGCGAATAGCCATCCCAACAAAACACAACATTAAACCCTAAACATAACTACTTAAAACACATAAACTCAAACATATTAGTAAACCAAAAATTTACACCCACGAATACATTGCATTCCCTACATCAATCTAATAGCAAACACAGCTAAAATGTTAAACAAATAAAGATAAAGTAAAATTTTTGTGAACATGTGAAAAACGAAAAAAAAACGAAAGGAAATTTACCCAATAAAAGATTTTTTCGTATACACTTCTCGAGTTTTATTTCGAACATGGCGCCGTGTGGCGCGATTAATATGAGATGCTATCGAAACATTTCAATATAAACGATAGTATCGCCCGTACTTGGTGTTGAAATAAACGTAATTTTAGGCATTTTCTAACACTTACTCTTCTTATTCACGTTATTTTGAAATTTTCTAATATCTAATATTGTACACTCGCACAAACTAATTCACGTTTAAACATGATTATACTATATTAAATATTACCTAATCTTACCGTTTCAATGCCTAATATTTGTTTACTTAGTTTAGTTTAGCACGGTCTGTAATACAGCCCTGGACATAAATTAATTCAAGCTAACCTGTTGTAAAGTCAATTGAATAAAAAATAAATGTTTTATATTTTAGCTTTATGATAATACAGATCTGTGTATGAATGCCTTTTAAATTTGACAATTCAAGGTACTGCGTACTATGCGATATTTGGTCACCCTGTGAAATACTAAAACTATTGCTATCGATTTTGTTACACATCGATAACCACAGTAATCGTCCCAAAGAAAAAGCATAAAAGCATAAATGTACTTACAGTTTACAAACAGAAATAACTATAACTGCAGCATAGATCGGAGCGCTTCAAAAATAACGTAAATAAAAAAACTAAAAACAATAGAAGCATTCTGTAGGCAAAAATAAATAAAGATGGCACTTAGATTTTAATTGCGCGCGCTATAAGTCTTAAATATATATGTATTTATAATTTAATGTGGAAGGAAGCGACGCCTTTAGTCGGCTTATTAGAACAAGCGTGTGTGTGTGTGTGTGTGTGTTTGTGCTTGTGTTTGTGTGTGTCCGAGCCTGTGTCTGCATGTGTATGGACAATACATGACAACAAAAGGTGGACAACAGTGCCTTGGCGACGCTTACAAATTGAATTAGAAGCTTTAGAGTGTAAACAATGCTGACGTACATGGGCATATGTCCATCTTTGTCTCCCAACACCGACAAAACGAGCAACAACAAGTAGACCGTCCGCCTGCTGTCTTTTGGGCTATTTATATGCCGATTAGCATGCTCAACGTGGAAATAAATTGAAAATGGGGTGGGTTTTTGTAGGCGCAAAACGTTGCCAGGCAGGTCGATCAAAAGGCATTCCATATGCACAGAGCTATATGCTGTAAGACTCTGTCTGGCTGTCTGTCTGTCGCTCTCTTTGTGTGTGCTTGTGCTTGTCTATCTATGCATAATTCAAATTCAACGTGCTGAACTAAACTGAAATGTAATAAATTAGCTCCGAACACAGGTTAAGCCACACTGTTGTTGCCCAGTGCTTGCTGCTGTTGCTTGTGGAAATTCCACCCACTTAACAGCATGCAAGCTGTAACAGTGGGCGGCACTGGCTGTGACTGACCTTGGAGCAAATATCGACTCTATGTATCATTTTATCATTTGTATGTGTATACAAATGTTCATCAATGTATTCAATGTAATCTGTAGTCAGATGCAAGGCTTAAAGGCACTAGATTGGACTTTGAGTCGTTATTAAGTAGCTCGGCTTGTCGTGTCACTCTCACTCTAGTTGCCTCGATAAGACGACGACGACGCTGATTGAATGGAATGCAATTGAAGCATATGTATGTACACTATATACTATATACAAGCATCTCGCAATATATATAGACAGCATTATTCAACTGTTCGCTAAATGTATTAACATATGCTTAAAGTGACGTATTTAACCTGATGCTCCTGCTGAAATCAGTGACCTAAGCTTCTGATAGTGGATGATGGCTAATCAAACAAGCAAAAACATATGCAAAATTGCAAAAATGTTTAACAGATTTGTCTGAAATAAATCCGAGTCTTAATAATTCTTAAAATTGTTGTCATTAGAAATAGTTTCAAAGCTCTTTGGATTCAATTCTTTTAATTATGTAAAATATGGCATTTATGACTATTCAATCTGATTCAACATTTTCCTTGTCAACAAATTAATTAGGCAACTAGATTGGTAAATGTAGACAACAGTTAAGAGTTATCAAATTCCGCTTAGCTAATCCGGAATCAGTTCGACATCGTCGCGACATGTTCGATAAGGCAAAACCCTAAACACAATTCGAGCTATAAATATAAACGGCCCAATATATTGAGCTATCTATCAGAAAGGGGTTTGGGGTTTGGCTACCTTATCAGGCTCTATTGCCACTTATTGGGGCTGCTATTATCAATATACATCAAGTAATCAAAGCAAATGGTATTTAAATAACAATAATCGACGCACCAGCTGCTGAAACCAATCCACAGTGCAGCGAACGGGGGCCAGCTGAAGAGCGAGCTGGGAGCGGACGATGAATAATCTACTGCAGGATATACAAAACAAATACTCATTTCTGGATAATCTATTCAGTCACGTATGGAAATGCATTATTCGATCGAATTTAAAGCTCAAGCTCCAACTGCGGAATATTCAATGGAAGAATGCAAAAGCCAAGCCCGGCTGTGCCTACCAACCCACAGAAGTGAGGCATATCAAACGCATGCACATATGTATATATTATTTTGATTCCCTTTTAAAGATCGAACAGGTGGCCAATGTTATAACCCATGGTATTTGGATAGTTCCCGCCGTGTTCGCAGTCATCAAGCTCTTTGAGCGATCCAATAGCTATAGCCAATATCTAGTCTCATGGGTCTATGGCACCGCACTCTGCATGCTGTTCACAGTTTCCACATTTTTTCACTGTTCGTGCTACTGTGCCGAACACAAGTGAGTTTGGCCACAGCCAACGAGGTTAACCTGTTCCGCTTTCTACAGAGTTTTCTTTTTCAGACCACCTAAAAATTATGACGCTTGGCCCACATTCGGCTGGCAAACGACGTACCAGAGTCTGAAGAATGTCTTGCATCGCTGCGATCGGGCCATGATCTATGTGTTTATTGCCGGCTCGTATTTTCCCTGGCTGACGCTGGAGAACACCGACCATTCAGCGATACTCTTCTGCATGGAATGGATTATTTGGCTAATGGCTGCTATTGGGATTGCCTACCAACAAGTAAGATAACTGTCGATTGCGAATGCTTATCAATCGAGCTTATCGTCTTCATTTTGGCTTTGGTTTTCGGTTTCGTTTACTTACAGCTCTATCACGAACGCTACAAATGTTTGGAGACATTCTTTTATATTGTTATGGGTCTGGGTCCGGCGCTCGTTGTCATGTTTACGGGGCATCACTTTAATGGCATGTTGCAGCTCAAGTGCGGCGGCGCCTTCTATATACTGGGCATTGTTTTTTTTAAGGCAGATGGTCTGATTCCTATGGCGCACGCTATTTGGCATCTGTTTGTGGTGCTCGCCGCCGGCTGTCATTATTATGCGATTTTAGTTAACCTTTATCCAAATGACTCCAATCATTTACAAACTAGTAGCTAAGTCAATGCTAGGTATGGGGACAGCTTACGACTCCAAGAACCTTATCGTTGAATGTACTTAACTAACTGACCAACGGATCCATTAATGGTAGATGGTGGTCCACACAAACTCCATTTGATTATGAATTTTTTGGTTTTTCGGTTTTTTTGTTTTTGCTTGTGTTAAATTTTGTGACGACCAGAATGTATTCCTTCCTATCTACCACCCATATAAGTTACTTCTCCAAAATTAGCCAAATTTTGTACAAAGTTTATAGTATTTTAATTAATTTTTTTCAAATGACATGAGTTGAGTTTTTCAATCGGATTTATATACAATAGCTCTAGTTGTAGTTGTAGTAAGTTATAAAATTTGTTAGAATAAGGTAACGGATTCTGAAAATTTTCGATAAAGAAAACGTATCTTGTGATCAACATCTGCGGTCTTGCCAAAGATTCGAGTGGAAATTATTAATTCTCAAATCGTAAATAATATATGAGCATAATTATTTGCCGCATTCATATATATACATATACAGATATAAATATATATGAAGGCTTTTGTTGTAGGTAGATCAAATACCTATATACATATATACATACATACATATTTTTTTCTATAACAATTATTGAATATTTTACTATACGACTATAGTTTATGTTTTACTTACATATAACTAGCTCACATCTGGCAATGTGTGTTTTAAAGACTAACAAATTGTACAAACTCCAATAGTAGAACTTGACGATTAAATTCAACGCCTTTCAACATACTGGAAGCCCGCCTAAAGAACATATACACACATAGTTATATACAAACATATGTATAACAAATATATTACAAATATAATTAGTTATAGAATGAGCATAAGCTTAACGCGAGCCAATGTTTGAGTTAAGGTGTTAGTTAGTCAGTCTGCTGTTCAGCGTGTTATGTTACTAAGTAGGTAATTGCTCAGGGAATACTTATGCAGACCGTATTGGTGCTGTCTATCGGGGTGTTTGAGATCTATGGGGTGCGAACGGAATCATTGGTTCGCGATTAACGCACTCAACTTGTATACACAATTGTTTTTGGATGCTTGGCGAATTTCGAAATGGATTATACAATGAATTATTGCTGAGCAGAATTTATACATTATAACAGCATGAAATGAATTATACATTTGTACTACTCAAAACAATATATATATATACTACCTATATACATAATAGATATATCATTAAATCTATACAATAAATATATTCCTGGTACGAAAGGTCAATCAATATTTTATCTTGTTTTTCTTGGCATTTTCGATTGGGATTGGCATATTTGCGTTGTAAATTAATAAACATTATCTTAGTCGATTTAGGTCCTAAATATCATTAATATGCACTTACATAAAAAATAGCAGTCAGTAACAGTTCAAAAAAGTCGACAAACGCGCCAAATTATTTCAAAGTGCTGTGAAATGCGCAATGCCAAAAGGCAATGATCGCCAAGAATATCGCTTAACTGATATCGCTACTATCTACACCTATCGGTACTATCGATAGCGAATTGTAGCTAGACAGAATGCCCAAATTTTATTTGACTAATTTTTAACATTCAAAGAGAATACTTAATAAATCTATTAACCTATTAATATAGATAAGTACGTATTTTCCAATAAATCATTAATTCTGGAATTTTTGGAAAAAGGTATATTTGTACCCAAGAGCTAATTGCTACCTATAATTTTCGAGAAATTTGAGTAAAATAATAATTGTTTTGACAAGAACCTTTAATTGAAATAAAATGTATATCACAGCTAAGAGATATATATATGCATAGGGTCCATGAAATTGATGCCAAATCCGAACTCAACTAAAAATTAAAAATTTGCTCTCTATATCGATACATCGATAATGCTGTTACCAATTCTCAAGGCAAATGAACAGTTCTACTTAATGGACAAGGAGAGGAAAGCCTACGATGCGCTTTTACAAACAGTAAATAATCGAGCGCAATGCTCCTCTGCTGCGGAGGTATGCCTTTATCAGCGTCAACTGCAGTTCCTGCGCAACATCGAAAGCCAGACGTCCACAGGGCCATATGGCGCGAGCACGGCGGCGCAGCTTGCACATCTGTTGGCAGAAGAGGCGCTAGCGGAAGGTGGGCATGGCGATGACTCAGTTAATCTTGGCGCATGGCTGGTCTGGTTGAACGAGCTACTCGTGAACCGTAAACAGCAGCTCGGCGAGACTCAACCGATTCTTGAGTGGCTACTGCAGCGTGTGGAGCAACAATGTACAGTGGAGCAGCAATGTACAGTGGGTGCACTGCGCTGCCTGCTTGCGCTACTGGAATCACTGCCAGTGGCCGGAGCGCTCAAGTACTTTCCACGCTTCGTAGCCATTCCATTGCCACACAGCTTGGAGGCGGCGTTACTTTTGGTTCTCTGCCAAGATAGGCTGTTCAGCACATTTTGTACGCCAAATGCCGAACTGCAAGCGAAAGAGTTGCAGCAGAGCAGCCAACTGGCCAATTCACTGGTGCAGATGCTCTACGATGGATGCTGGGCAGCGATGGCAACAGTCGACACGCATACGCAGCAGGAGGAAGAGCGGCTCACAATGCTACTGGTGCACTCACTGCAGCTACTGCAGAAGATAGCAACCCACCATGCGGACTATGCCATACAGTATGCGCCGGAACTGTTAGGTCTTGCTCTGGCCAACGTCCGATACAGAGTTGGTGGGGAGAATGTAAAGACAATATATCAATTGCCCCATCGAGTGCATCCGGCCCAGCAATCGGCAATCTATGGACCTGACGATGTGGACGTGGAATCGACTGCTGGTAATCAGAACACAGCTACAGCAGCTGCCGGCAGACGTGTAAAGTCGCGCAAGATGCGTTCGCTGACCAAGCAACGTAACAATGGCAGCCTACAGGAAGGCAAAACCAGCAGCAGCAGCATCGCAACAGGACATGGAAATCGGATGCAGCTAATAGTGCTAGAAAACAGTGATTATGGCTACCGTACACCGAGCGGTGACTCCGAGGGTGGCTGCACGCCCACCTCAGATGGCGCCGGACAACAGGTGGTGGGCCTGAAGCAGCAGCGCCAGCGTCAAGTGAAGCTACGCATCGCAGCTCTGCTACTGATGGGCGCGGTGACCAAGCAACTTCCCCGACGCACACTCTATGGCTACTGGCACGTGCTCTTTCCGAGTGGCGGCGATGGCGCAGCTGGCGCACGGGAGAACAAAGATCACCTGCTGTACATTGGTGCCAGTGATGGCAACGTGCGCTGCCGAGCGCTGGCGCTGCAGCTGGCAGCACAACTGCTGTACGGCTCCAAGCCGTATCTTAGCCAGGCAAGCTGCGCCCTGGCGCCTACCAACTACACACCGTTCGCGATGAGCCTGGCCAACAGCGTCATGGAGGCGTATCGCCAGCTAGCAAGCATATTGGAGCGTGAATATGTGACGCCGGTGCTGACGCAGTGCCTCAAGTGTCTGGCGGTCCTTGTGCAAGCGACTTCTTTCGAGCAGCTACAAATGGGCATCGTCTATGAGTTTGTGCCCCACGTAAAAATGTTAACGCGTCATGTGGACACCAGCGTTAAGGTGTCCGCATTGCTGGTCATGGAAATGCTTGTGGCAACGCCACGCCTAACCCAGGAAATGGCCTGTGCTGTGGGTCTGCCTCTGAAGGAGCGTCGCAATGTCAACACGTTGCACACATCGCCGCGTCATAATGCTCACCAGGATCAGGTGCATCAATTTCAATTGCTTTACGACTCCGACGAAGAGGAGGTGGAGAATGAGCAGGAAGAGAAGGAGGCAGCACAGGAGGCGGAGGAGGAAGAGGACAGCTCGCCTGTGGTGGCAAAACCAGCAGCTGAGCAAACGCGCATTGCTTTGCCTTCGGGCCGCATTCCCCGCAACTCGTGGCTGTTGCGACTGGTGCTGCGCTATCTGGACTGTCCGACGAGCGCGTCGCCACTGCGTGTCGAATGTCTGCAGGTACTGCTGGCCATGACCACACATTTTGGCCTGTTGCGTGAACATCTAGCGCGTCTGGCCGATGTGCTGTGCAATGCCTTGCAGGATAGCTCGTGGGATGTACGTCTTTATGCGGCACGCACCTTGGACGCCATTGGCTTCCAAATGGCGCGCCTTGCCTTGGAGCAAACGGAGCCCAGGCCCGAATTACAGCAGCAGCACTTGAACTTTTGGTTACGCATGCTGCCTGCGATATATAACGCCTACTCTAATGCCGAGACGGCCACCCTGCGATGCTCCTTATGCGATGCGCTGTCTAACATGGGTGGCTACAGCTTCGAGCGCTTGCCCCAGGCGCAGCGTACTGGACTACTGGCCTTCCTATTGGGCTGCAGCAGCGACGATGCCGCGGATAGTCTGGTGCGAGCAGCGGCTGTGCGGGCGCTAGCCGTTTATGTGCTGCATCCGACGATGCGGGATGATCTGGTATTTGTAGAGCATGCAGCAGAGCTAGCGTTGCTCCTCGTTGGCGACGCTCAGCTAGCCGTACGGATCAAGGCTGCCTGGGCGCTGGGCAACATAAGCGATGCACTTGTAACGCCGGAACAGGAAGCACATGAGAAGGAACGCATCTCGCAGGTACTGCTTGGACGCCTAATCGAAGCCGCTGTCCTTGCATGCGGCGACCATGACAAGGTGCGCGCCAATGGTGTTCGCGCTTTGGGCAATCTCTTGCGTCTGCTGTCCGGCGAAGAGCACGCACTCATGCAGCGGGCCATGGGCAGGCTGCTTGATTGTGTGCGCGCTGCAGGTAGCGCCAAAGTCAAGTGGAATGCCTGCTATGCCATTGGCAACCTGGTCCGCAATCGTGCAATGTTCGCCACAAGCGCCAGCTTGGCGGGCACACTGTTCGCAGCGCTCAGCCAGCTGATTGTGCAGCACGCGAACTTTAAGGTGCGCATCAATGCCACTGCCGTGCTGCTACAGATCGAACACAGAGCGGACATGGGCGCGCACTATGCTACCATGTGGCGCTCGTTATTGGCGGCCATTGAACGCTCCAATGCATTGGACACCTTCGAGGAGTATAACCATCGTGACGGACTCCAGCAGCAGCTCTGCCTAGCCATGGCCCATATGATGGAACGTGCGCGTGCCGACGATCTGTCGCCCTGTCGCGATGCCCTCGAATCACATCTGGATGTGGTCAGCAGCACCTGGCGGCGCGTTGCCTATCGCATTGTGCCCGAGCAGGCGACACCGCTCTTCACCTGCAGTTCATTGCTGCAGAAGCGCCTGGGTGCCGCTGCCCTCACAGCCGACCAGCGAAGCGCACTCACGTTCATCACTGGCGCCCTGCGCCTGCAGGGCTAACTCCACTACCAATTAATTGTATTACCAATGCATGACTTTTTTACGTAACATAAATAACAAATCATTTTTCACCAATAAACTTAATGCAAGCAAATGAACGAAATTCGTGCGTTTTCATATCTTTTTAGTGAGCCCAAACAGCTGCACATGGAAGGTCTTTCTCCTGATCGAGATCGATTATTTTTTAAAGAATTTTTATTTAACGCATATATGTATACATGATTTTTGACAAAAAAAATGATATTCTACTTGTTCTAGTTCTTGTTGATTTAAAGTGTAATCTAGTGCAATTGTTGTGGTTAATGTTGTTAGATCTGAACATCAACACCGAAAGTTGGCGGCTCGATGTTGATGGCAGCAGTTTGTTATGTTTTTGCTAAAGTATATTTTGAAGTGTTATATGTCGCTTACCAATCGTAAGCCACACTCATATGCATCTACATACATATAGTGTATAGGTATAGTGTAGGTGTAGGTATATGTATATGTATATGTATATGTATATGGATGACTTGCAATAAAAACTATCAAAAGGATGCACACGTATTAAATTAAACAATAAGTAAAATGATAACCGTTCTTGCTGTCATTAAAAATAACATTGCATATGCCTCCAACATGAATTTCATAATCTGTGTGCCTCTCTGTCGACCCATCGCCAACCGTGCCAGCATATCAGTATGAAAACATCCCCTGCCCGCCCCTCTCCCGTTATCCCCGTGACCCCCACAAATTCTACACACCCTTGTGACCCAGCTCATTCGCCTGTCTTAGCACGTTTGTCTACTTCGTTCGGCCTTGCGGTCATCGATAACGTCCTGAGATACGCCTACTGCTCCAACCTTTGCCGCTTCTGGTCAATGGGATTTACGGTGGTGTCAGCGAAATCCAATACACGTTTCCCAGATCCAAGCACAATTTTGTTCATTAAGTCCAGTCTCTGTGCAAAAGTACAATAGATTCGATGATAATTGTGGCTGCTGTCGCAATTAGGCAATCGTCTGCTTACCTTGGCCGGACTTGATCTGATAACGTAAACAACCTGACCCGGCGACTGCTGCATCTCATTCTTTGACATTTGCGTAACGTAGAGTGAGTGGTTGTGTGTTAGCTTCTTGGGCACCATTGTGCGCTCAGTGGGGTGTGGCGACATCAGTAGATTTACATTCTGGTGGATAAAAAGAAATTCCAATTCCAATTCATATGATACAGAGGGACATGGCATATAGTCAACTCACATCCTCACTCTTGTCAAGGTAGTTGATACAGAATTTCTTCATCTCCGGCACATACGTGTAGTTGTAAAAGTGAATAATATCTTTCAACACGTATTCGCCATGCTCATTGACGCTGATGAGCACCTCACGATACACACTATTTACCGCCTGCGGCTGGTTGCGATACGCCCGCATAATGTCACTAAATTTGGGCTCCTCCATTTTGGTTACCTGAAATCAACGACGACGAGAATGAGATGAAAATAAGCACGAAAGAGAAGAGAGGCGTTACAATAAAGAACTATCTAAAGTACAATAAAGAACTATCTGATAGATGCAATAGCTGTTAGACAGGCTACTTACTCTTATATAAATATATATTGCACACATGATTATTTGGTCGAGATGGCGATCTTTCATTAGATGAGTTTTGTGTGTGATCGAATGCTCGAATATAGTCCAGATCTTGTCAGGCTTCTTCTCGTCCAGGTTTAACTCCGAGCAAAGCTTACTGATGCGCAGCCAGCCGAGCAGAAATACCTTGCGCAGAAATATCTGTAGTTGTCCAGCTGCCTTGTCAGCTGTCACGTCGCTCCAGGTGGGCAGCGGCTTGGACGCATTGTCAATCATGTCCCAGATTGGGGAGTTACGTGTCCATGTCAACCGCTCTAGGCATGTCTCCTCGATGGAATTAAGATGCTTGACTAGGCTACGTGTGAGGCAGCCCTCGTGTGTGCCGTGGCTGCCATGGCGCACAACAATTTCGATGATCTTATGAAATTGGAAGGCGTTAATACTGAAACATTCCAGAATCCAGGGGAACTTAAGCTCCGTATTGTAGGCCTCGAGCACCAGCTCCGTGCAGCAGGCCATCAGCGTCATGTTGAAGATGTCTAATGAGATCTTTTGCACAATGTGAGGCTTAGTCTTTATCTCGGCACGGAGTATATGGTCGAACAGGTAGAAGTAAAGCGATTTGGCCAATTGGAATCGATTGTGAGTCTCGCTACGCATTGGAAACTTGGCCAAAAATTGTTCTTCCATTTCCTTTATTATTTTCAGCATTTTTGCAATAGCTGGCTCGCCCGCCTGTCTGCAATGAAAATCGTTTAAACGAATGACGCACTCAATTTGAACTGTTTTGGGTAACATACTTTACAAAGTCGGTGGGTTCGGTAATATGGCTGACTGCGGTGCTCAGCTCCTTGACATTGTTGGTGGCATTGGCCACCGGCTCGAACTTCTGCTCCGACATGACGGGCTGGGCGGGCAAGTCCTGTTTGCGTGTCAACGGCGTCACGGGTTGACGCAGCGCCTGTTCGTTTAGATTGCTGTGCTCGCTAGAGTCCTGCTGGTAGGCGCCCAATATGCGCTCGTCCAACTCGCCCACGGATAGAACATACTGCTCATAGCTGATGTTCAGCGATTTAAGATTTCGCTCATAATTCTTATTGGATATCAAGTCAAGCAGCGTGTGCTCATTACCTACGACAATCTGCAATCCACAATGGAATATTTGACGGGATTAGGAATACAATAATAAAATGAAAAAAAGTGTTGGCTGCATTACGTTCGTCTGAAAGAAGCTGTCCATTATCTTCCTAAAGACGCCCGCCTTCATTTCTTTAGCCTCGTCGGCCATCTCGCAAAAGTAGGCAAGTATACAATGGTTTCGGGCTTGGGTCTCGTCAAAGTCCGGCGAGTTCCAATTGGGTGGCAGGCCCTCAAATTTCGGATTGATGAGATCAGTGCGTTTCTCGGCCAGCACATTGGCGTAGATGAGATCAATGCAGCACATCATTAGGTTGTACGATGTGACCAGATCAAGGGTTGTCGTTGGCTTCTGATTCTTGGCGCACAGGAACAGGCGCCAGCATATATCGTCCAGCTTTATGTAGGAGCATTTGGTGCTGAAATCGATTGGCAATGGCATCATTTGAAAAGGGTCTTTATGCAATTAAGAGCACAGATGCCTACACACCTGTATTTCGAGTGTTTCTTTTCGTTGGGCGGGCATGAGTAGATTTGGTCGGAAATATCTCTGTACTTCTTGTAGATCGTGAATGTGATGCTAAACTTGCGCTCCAGCTCCTCCATTTGCAGTACAAATGTTTGGGGCATATTAGCCATGTCGCACCACAGTTTGATCTTCTTCTTAAACTCGTAGATGCTGCAATGTGTGTATGAGAGAGAGAGAGAGAGAGAGAGAGAGAGAGAGAGAGAGAGCGCGATAGAGATAGAGTCAGAAAGAAAAAAGTGGGCCAGTAGTTAATTATGATAACATAGCTACCCATTACACTACGCACCTCATTTGACAGCTGCGCAACAAATTGTTCAATGGCACACAATTTCCCATTACGACTGCATTTTGGCCACCCACAGTGGGCGTGGTTGATTGACGACAGGCTACGAACAGAGCGCAGCAGAACCAATGCAAGATCTCCCCCTGCAATGCAAAACAATATACATACAAACATATGTATGTGAGTGTGCGTGAGTGTGAGTGAGTGCACAAATAAACTGTGTGGAAGCATATACGCGTGTAGTCTTTGTGCGACATATGCACGTTGGTATTTATGTGTGGCTGTATGACCATTATGTACGCACCTCTAAAGAGTAGTGCTTGAGCACTTCCTTGAGTATTTTGAAAGCCTTGGATTCGGTTTCCAGATCCATATTTAGATCACGGCACAGATTTTCAAACTTTAAGCGCATCGTTTCGAGGTACTCGTCGATTGTGGCGCCGGCACTGGTCACAACCTCGGCGCCGACCTCCTGCTCTTGCACATCGTTGCTCATCGTTGTTGTTATTGCCGTCGAGTTTAGCTTGAACGCAACTACAAATGCGACTTGTTCACTATTTTTTCGGCTAGAAATAAAACGTTGCTGCTGACGGCAGCAGCAGCAGCGGGTGCGGCCGCGGAATCAACTTGGTAAATGACCAGGCGACAACAGCAACAACAAAATCGAAAACGTCGACGATACTTTTTACGTTTTTGTTGAATATTCGTTCGTTGAATTTAGTCAATTTATTGCTGATTAATTCGTTTTGTGTTTTTGCTATTAGTTGCGTTATTTGCCTAGCACGTACGACGTATTTAATGATTGTGTGTAGTTTCTATAATAAAAAGGCGGGAAGAACTGATGTTGCCAGACAGGTTTGTACAGTGTGCGGTGAATTTTATTTTGGCGCCAATTGCAAAATTCTATATTCATGACGTTAATATCGCCATGGGAACAACACAGCACAGAAAAACATAATTTAATTAATACATTATATTTGTGGAGCATTATATCTTACTTATTTTTACTTACGTGATTCAGTTAAAAATGTGGCAACACTACACTACAGATGGCGGTAACATCAACTTAAACAGCTGTCTAAAATGTAAGGCTAATGTACTAATCAGGTTCAGCAGTGACTGTGGTTGCCAATCGAAAAAAATTTTACCAAGCCAATAACTAAATGATAGTCCGATTCGGTTAAGATAATAAGATTTTCATCCCCTATTATTTGGAAAAACAATAATAATATATTAATAATGACTATCTTATTGATAATCGAAATTTACACAAAATACTTTGTAACCTACAAAAATAATGGGATTAGAACTGTAAGGTTTTCAGCCATTTTCCCCTTGGTACTTTCTATAAACGATTCGCAATCTGCTGCTAATTGCTACAAAACGTTGATCGCTCACGTCAGTCAACTTTTGTCTGCCAGCACCGTACCAACAGTTTTTTGAGCACTGTTTCCCGCTCCCAAAAAATTGTTTCCGAGTCGAAGATATGCATGCAACTCCCATTTATACAAAAAACAATTGGATTTGATTTGTGTTATATTTATGTTTTATAAATATGTTTTTATTATATTATTAATTTGTTTTGCAAGTTGTTTAATTATTTTTGGCAACATGTTAACAAAAATATTTGATCGAAATAAACATGTAGATGGTATCATTTAGGTGTGCGATCTGTGTGTGTGTGGAATGCTCGGGTTATAATTTTGTTATTTAATGTACATTATTTTCTTTTTTGTTGTTGTTGTTTTTTGGTGGGTTTTCTATAACGCGATCATTAATTGATTTGCAGTCGCTCGATAAATGTCGTTGTGCATTTGATATGGTTAGTTTGAAGTTTAGTTTTAGATAGTTTAATTCCTTTGCATTGGCAACGTTCCATATGCAATAATATAGTAGTATCAGTAGTAGTAGTATTAATAGTAGTTGTAGTTGTAGTAGTAGTAATAGTAGTAGGCGTAGTACACTGTGTATAATATTGTTGTGGTTGGGCTGTATTAGACGGTAAGCATGTGGAATGTATTGGGCGGTAGGCTGTCTGTCTATCTGTCTGCTTTGACAGCGAGTAAATGGACGACTCTATGAGTACTGATCTACGAAATACAGATATAAGTACATACACATATAATGCTATAAAAGTCAAGGATCTTATCGTATTGCATTTATGCAGCACCTGCTGCTTCATTAACCAATTGAATTTCAATATCTTCTCGATCATATTTAGTTGTTTTATTGTTTTACAAAATTGTAAATGCATATGCTTTTGATTTACATTCACTTGTAAATGTTGTTCAATTTACAGCTATGTATATATCTATATATATATATATAAATACATATATATATGTATATCTTGTTTTCCATTAATAATTATATTATATACATTAAAAGGTAAACAAATAAAAAAAAGTTTGTTTATAATTAAGCAACAAATACAAGCGTACAACAATAAATTAATTAACTTTTGCCGTTACTTGGGGGTTTCTTTTTTTCTTCTTTACTTTTCAAATGTATATATATATATGTATATATATATATATATGTGTGATAGATGTATGCATATAAATGTTATATTGTTATAGTTGTATATTGATTAATTTATGATTTATTTTTTTCGTTTGCTGTGCGTCTCGTTTGCCAACTTAAACTTTAACAGTTTCCATTTTCCTTTCCATTTTTCATCTTTATACAATTTCATCTTGATTAAAAATTGAATTTCTCGCAACTCGACGCTTCTTTATGAATGGTTCGTAACGAATTCTATTTGTTGTTGTTTGTTTGTTGTTGTTGGTATTGGTTGCAGTAAATTACTAAAGTAAACTGGTGGCTTTTATGGCTTAGACTTAACACTTCACATAGGGCTTAGGGACTACAGTTAAGATTAAACATTACAGTAAGCATATATACATATATATATATATATACAACATATATATATATATATGCATATACATACATACACAACTATAACCATTTAAGCATTAGTTATATTTACGTCGCGCTGTTGCATTTCCCTCTCGCTCCCTCCCTTTCGCTCTCTCTCACGCTCTCTCTCTTAGTTTTTATACAATTTTACAGATGCGATCTTGGGTGGAGACCTGGCTTAATGTGGCTTACATTACACTAGGCTACGCGCTGTTCTGTGTTGAAGCAGGTGAGGGAGGAGGGGCAGATGCAGAATGCAAACTCTAGTGGTATGGCTTCAGATGCTCCACATAATTCTCTGGTATAAGACCCGTTTTGCCATTCAGCGTGCCTTGCAGCCAGCCGGGCTCATGTGAGAAGCGCACTGTAAATGGTTGCAAATTGAGTCTGAGAACGCAAATGGAGTCGGATTATATGCTATGCTTACCATTTGTTATAATCTGATTTGGCTCAAAGGATAGTTCGCCCTCGCTCTCACCCATACAGGCATACAAAGTACGCACGCGTCTGCAATGGGATATAAATGATTAGATATATATTGTGATAAGTGTTGTAGATCGCAGAATGGACGAACAGCTATATCTTTGGGGAACTGCTATTCATTCGGTTTGCTCTGAACTTACGCTGTGCCCGCGGATAGATCCCGCTTAATTTGGTTGATGTCACGATTGCGATGCATTTTGGTCGGCGCATAGTCGGCGCTCTCGTTGGTGGAGCCGCTGCCGTTACCGGCGCCAGTGAGGTTGCCCAGGCCGCTGCCCCCGATCATGGAGGGCGCCGCTGTGGCCGTCACAATGTCGTCACAGGTGCTGCCAAGCAGTGTGGACAGTGACGATGTCTGCGATGTGATTGGCGGATAATCAATCGAGCTGCGTGCGTTCAGCAAACGCGTCACGTTAGCGCTACTGCCGCCGCCGCCACCGCCGCCGCCAGCAATGAGGGCAGCGCCTCCATTGCCGCCGAGGCCAACGAGGCCGTTGTTAGAGGATAGCGAATCGCAGACGCTCTCATTGGAGCTGGATGTGGAGGCAGCGGCCACTGGTGAATAGTGCTTCGCCTGGCCATAGGCAAAGTGGCTACGCTGCACCGGCGGATGCTGCTGTGGTCCGCTGCCAATGACGGCGCTGCTGCTACCAGAGGTCTGCAGGTGGCGCTCCTTGCGCATTGCGGCCGTGGGCGGGGAGACATCGTTTAAACTGAGACGATTGCTGCTGGCGTTCGTATAGATGTGACTGCTGGACGCAGACTGGGGCACCGGTGTGGCCGTGGCCATTAAATAATCGGCATGCCGCAGATTGCTGCTGGCCGTGGCCGGCGTCGCATGATGCGCCTGCAGCGCTGCCCCACCATTCGTGCTGGGACCGCCGCCCAGTATGCCATAGACGGCAGCTGCCGCATCCGTGCCCGACGAGCCGCTGCGACGGCCGCCGAGGTCGCTTTGCGTCATGGCGTGCAGGTTCTTCATGCTGCCCATTTGGGCGGGCCGAGCACCGTTCGTCACATGCGCTGACACCACCGTCAACGACGAGCCGCCACCTGTGCCGCCGCCATTTGTGTTGCTGCTGCTGGTGACGCCACCGGGCGGTGTGCTGTTGCTCGCACTGGCCGGGCCATGGGCATAGATCATGCCATTTGGAATATTCTGCAAGCTGGACGACATAGTGGGATCTGGGTAATTGGATTTGGCCAGCACGCGGTACACCTTCTGTTCCGGCGAATACATTGTGCTGCGTCCCACACTGCCACCGCCGCCGCTGCCGACGCCACCGCCCGTCGACGCGGCTTTGCCCACCTGCGAGGCACGCGGCATTCTCGTCGGCGGACTGCTGCTGCTCGGATGCAGATTGGCAGCCGCGACAGCGGCATTCACAGCTGTGGCTACGCCGCTGCTGGGATCGTTCTTGAAGATGCGCTCATAGTTCTCGATGAGTATGTTGATGACAATGTTGTTGAACTTTATGTCCAAAATGGCGGCGACCGTCTCCTCCAGCGGACGCAACAGAGTCGGCCCAAAGACAACGCCCAAGTTGAACACCGACATTTTGTTCTTCTCGTATTTGCGCGAGACTCTGCAAGTCGAATAAGGTCATGATTGAGTTGGATGCTTCGAGGATTCGCTATGCTACTCACTCAGTCAAATGCCTAATGACCATGTCCAGCATTTCAAAGTTTGGCTGCGGCAGCTTGTAGACCAATTTGTGAACCTCGTTCACGCGCTGATTGAGGCTCTCTTTCTCTGCAGAGAGTGAGTGAGTGAGAGTGAGAGAGAGAGAGAGAGAGGTTATCAGTTGGTGGGATAACTACGATTGATAAAGTTCTATGTGATGTCTTACTGGCTGCCTCGATGAAGCCGCTGTGATAGTGATAGGTCATGAGGGGCTCATTCAGATTGCGCAGATACATTTTGAGGGCGCTGGCAATGGTGTTGCTCTCCATGAGATCACGATATTTGTCATCGGTGAAAACGTCCTCGTTTTCCTTGCGCTCCATGCCGAGCGAGAGCAGTTTGTTGATTTTGGTGCCGACGCCGCTCTTGCGATAAATGCCCTCGTCCTCCAGACCACGGCCCTCCAGAATTTGTATACATCGGCGTACAAACATGAAGCCAGTCTCATCCAATTGATAAGCCTCGTTGGCTTTCATTTTGCCGGGCACCAGGTAAGTCTGCCAGAGAATCGATTCGATTAAGTGACAAATTGAATATCATTGGCTACTCATCATTGGGCTACTTACCGGCTCCGTGCCGTCCATGGCGCTCAGCCACGAGCGATGATCCTTCTCGCTCAGTGCCTGAAATGTGTAGACAATGCCCGGCTTCTCCTTGAATGTTAGATCGAAGCAGAATCGCTTCTCGAACTCAGAGGCCCGACGCTGGCACGAGAACAATGTCAGCTTCTCGTCCTCACGCGCCTCGGGACGCGTGAAGCTGTGGTTCATCTGATTGAACTGGAGCATTGTGAATTCGCGCTTTTGCTTCTTGA